AGAATAATTATCATGCTATCATTATTGTTAGTTTCTGGCTAAGACTCCAGCCTTTAAGCTTAGTTTCTGTTATTTCCCTAATACAAAATGGATGGACAATTCTAACACCATTTATGCTGTAATGCATTTATGCTGATGAGAAGCCAGTAGAAGAATTTCATAGGGGCACTGTTTGTGGTTGTTTGCAATCTAATAACCAATTATTTCTAAAAGCTACTTTTCTCCCCCAAATCATATAACTTATTAACAAAGAAAAGTTTGGGACATTAATCTGGTTTCAAATTCAATAGTACATAATGGAACTTTTGACTGTGCACCAGCCAAGAGGAACAAGGAAGATTACATGGTGAGCTGAATTCAAATATGTCAATATGTTTTGGAATGTTAAATACTTAATTTGCACAATATATCATCATTAGTTGGCTAATCTTTAAAGTTGCATCTAGAGAAAAAAATAGAATTTTTCCACACTGCTGACTAGCCAAGGATTGTCTTTCTGTCTCACACATTGAGGAGTAAAAATTTAAGAAACAGTAATTCATAAAATGCTTCTGACATGCACTGAAAACCATACAGGATTCTTGTTTTTGAAAACTAATTGCGCAAATCATACAACGGACCCCACAAAAACCAAAGCAAGGATAATATTATTTTACATCTAGCTTGATTTGAACAGGTGTAACATGTATTAAAATCACATTAGTAATCTTAAAAGCAAAACCGTAAAAGGGTTGAGCTCTACTCCTAACAATTGCATAGGCTGCTTTCAAACTAATCTGTTGAGCAGGCCCCAAAAGGTCCTCTAGGAACTTCAGGTGTTGGTCTTCAGTGCTGGTTTTTGTTACAAGTATCAGGATCTTGGGTTATATTCTTTAGTTAACTTGATCCAGAATGTAAAATAAATGAAGACATTTACTCTGGTTTTAACTGTTACCTGTCATTAGACTCTAGCTTAACCTTCCATGATTACAGAAACTATGAACCATCACTATTTAGAACCAGGTCCAATCAGTGAAGTATGCCATCCTTAAATAACTGAATAAGAACGTGACATTTTCACAAACTTTTTAGACTATCTAGAAGTGAAATACATTTTTGAAAACAAAACAGGAAAGACCTCTTTGTTGGCCACTGCTGTTTTTCTTTTTTCCAAAGTTGCTACTGCAATTCCTCCTACAGAGGGGGGATTTAGCATTCGTCATGCTAGAATGATTCATGGGAGAGAAAAAGGAATGAACCTAGGCAACTGAAAGATCAGTTTCCACTAATCCTCAGGATTCAAGGACTTTCTGAATGGCTAGTTTCCAGAATAGAAGTAAGCAAAGAAATGCATATAAAAATTCTAATCAAAGTGATAAGTAAAGTACACATGAAAACAAGAGGCCAGATTAAAAAGAGGTAAGTCTTTAATGTGATCACAACCTCAGTTTGCTAGTTTTTCAGCTGCGACCAGAAAGACAGGTTTTAAGTAAATTTGCACCTCACCGTGCTTCTACACATACTGGCCTCTTAAGTAAATAGTAGCAAAAATCAACATACTTGATAAAAGTTTGAGTAAAACACCATTTGCTTTTTAAGGGGTTCACATCTTCCTCATTCCTCTAAAGATTTAGCTGCCTTTTTTTTTTTTTAAGTGGTATAGTTGTTTCTAAAACATCACAAAGCATTTTCATCAGCGAGTACAAACAAGACCACTTTGAAAAAAGACAGGCAGAATCCTAACTCTAGAAAGGTAAGTCAGTTTTCTACGTGCATTCACAGAATCTAAAAAACTCAGTACTTCCAACAGCCACAATACCTGGAGCTGGTAAGTAGGTAGCTTTCTGAACAGCTCAAGTGTGTGTGCACATGAGTGGGTGGGACAAGGGGGGGGAAATGTATCAGCAGGACATGATAACTGCAGGTTTTCTTACAATGCAGTGCTCTTCTACCCTACTGAGACCTCTCCTGGAAGTTCCACATTGGATGTGAGGCTAAGATAAAGCATTTCCTTTCTCATGATTTGCACTATCTTCCTTCCTTGTGTTCTTATCTTGATCTCTTTTAACTACAGATACATGGTTTATCTCAAGTCTTTTCTTGCCCTTCCATTTTCATTGCATATTTCTTTTATTTTAGTTTTCACTCAAATAACCTGCTAGAAGGATTCTGCCTAAGATGCCTTGTATACTCTCCTGAGACAATGACAGAAAACAGATTTGGATTATTTTATATCCCTTCTCTATGTTAGTCATTTCCTCATTGATCTGGGGGAAAAAAAGAAAAAAGTAAAAAAAAAAAAAAAAAGTAGTGTTTTAGCAGTGAACTCAAGTTATTTTACTTACTAGCAAGCTCACCCTACATTCAGCTATGGAAGACAATAATTTTTAAAAATAACAAGCAACATTTTGAACAACTGGAAACTTCATCTCCTTACATGTTTTAATATTGAACTTTTCTTCTCTCACATGGTTGTAACAGACTCATATTTTGACAGTGATTCAAATTATTATACAACCTGTTCTACTCTAAAGTGGGAGGACATAAAAAAAGTTTTCTTTTGTTTTTCTTTAAGACAATCATTTCACTGTACACATAATTTTAGTGGATGTTGGCTGTTCACTTAAATGCACAGGATGTACTAGACAGCAGCTCATCATCACCAGAATTTGAAAGAAACTGACATATCTGGGGCATGAACTCCAGAGATGCCACAGCACAAACTCCCATATGAGGCCTTCAGAGAGAAATAACTTAGGAGAGGTAAAAGAAGGAATAATTGATAGGGAAGCAGAATATTCTGTTTTAAAAGGGACAGTGACTAAAGAATCAGAGACTTACTGTAGACTGAACGTCAGTTTAAGAAACAGGTAACAACGTCTTCAATTTGAGCCACCTCACATCATGTATTTTTAATTCTACAAACACCATGGACATGATGAATACAAAAATGGGGATGACTTTAAATTGTTGTAAACACCTGCAGAGTTTATTTTAACCTAAAAAGTAAACTAGACTGCAGTAGCACCTTGTCTTTTATACAGCATTCCAAATGTAGTTCACCATTTTGCAAACACAGTTTTGTTCATACTCGTGATTCTTCAGTGGTACACTGGCTTGGAGTTTCAGGGAAACACCCCTTAATTTTAGGAACAGATCCTGTAGTGAGCTCCACAGAGAAAATAGTTCAGCAACACCTCCACTGACCTGGTTTGAGAAAAATCTGTTAATACAGATGTTAATCATAGTAGGAAAGATGATAAACAAACTTCCAATCTTCATAATGTAGGGGAATATACACAAAATAAATTTACAGATCCTTGAAAAAACGAGAGTTTTATGCGAGCCAAATGTGACAGCTGATCTGGCTCTTCTGTTCAAATTAACCCTGTGATGCAAAAAAAACACCTAACATTTTTTTGTATTAGCAATCCTCTGTGACACTGAACTCTAGAAATGCTATTATCCTTTTTACTCTCCAACAGGCAACTGGTTTTAACAAAACAAAAAATACATAACTCATTCTTGTTTTCAGTTGTCTTATGTAGACAGTCACACTAATCCTTGCTAGAAGACTAATGTAGAAGCTATTTCTCATTCTCTCAGCACAGAGAAAAAATCTGATCCATAATTCAACTTAATTCTAATCCTGACAGAAGGAAGAAAAAAGATTGAGAGCTAAGAAAGTTGGATAAAACAGTTAAAGAAAAAAGATCACCAAACTGTATGTTTGTCCATTTTGAGCTCTGCATGCCCAAATTGAGTCTTTAATTCTGGAAGTACCCACTTTCACTCTCACTGGAAAAAATCTGAAGTTTAACGTTGAGCTGTTGGTCAATTTTCATTAGCACCAAGCAAGCCAAAGGCAAGTATATTGTAACACATCAGTTTCTTCAACATAAACCTGTTGCATACTTGAACTTTTCAAAAAGCAGTTAAAAGCTAAATGACTTTGAACAAACACTGATGCACAAGGTATTACAAGCTTAAAGTTTTACCATTTCACCATTTAAAAAGATGCTTGATAGAGGCTCAATAAATGTTTCTTTAAAGTTAGTTTCTGTACTAGTTTCCTTGGAAATGCCTAGAATACTGAGCCAACAGAACTCTGCACAGAAACAATAGGAGACAATCATCTGGAAAGTCTACACAAATTTTGTTGCATAAACCAGAGTGTACATCTTCCAGCTGAATTTAGGTTTCCATTCTGTTCAAAAATAGTATTGGGTGTTTCTTTATGCTTGACCACAAACAATACAAATTCCTGGGCTTACCCTGCAGTCTTATGATTAGCTGAAAGCAACAGCTTCTCTTTTATTTTATATGATTAACATTGGTCCAAAATTTGTTAATACCTTCCATTAATATTAATACATGCCACTGACAAGCCGTTGTCACTGAAATGACAAAGCAGCACATCCCATGTTAATATACTGTGTATTTCAGAGAAATGTTTAGCTGCTCTGATTTCTTACAGAAAAGCAACTAGTCCCTGCAGATGTATTTTCTACTCAAGAACATCCAAGTAGAATGCTCACCCTTACAACTAGCTTGCACTCAGCTGAATTACCTACGTTTCTTCCTTCTCAGTTACCAGAATTATTACAAGTTTGTTTTTTTCTTTTTTGTATCCTGAGACCACTTAAGACAATTGATGAAAGTTATCAGTCCAGCAGGATATCGGTATTTGACCATGCAGGTGATCTTAACCTTTCAGAAGCTTTGTAAAACACTTGGAAGAGATGTCAGTTTATGCCTATCTGATGCCTAAGCATCAGTCTTTTGACACATTATAGTTTATCAAGGCAGTAATAAAGTCAGGTGAAAGGAATACCTGTAATGAAGAGATTCAGAAATAAAAAACAGAATAGTTTACCACAAATACTTGTTTATGCATCTTTAATACTATCTCCAGCATTCTTTACTAAATTTTTTTTGCCTTTAATATAATCTCAATTTGTTCTAAATGCTGCTTCTAAGAACACCAGTAAATATCTACAGACACAAAATCAGTGTTCAATGTTTTGTAAGGTACATCCCTTTATTATTGTAATCACAAAACCATGTTTTTGTATAGGAATGTTTAAGTGAACATTAATCAATGCAATCAAATTTGTTTCATAAAGATCAAGTCAACGTATTACAGAACATAGTATTGTAAAGAACAAAAATATCAGCTTTCTGGCCTTGCAGTGCACATTTTAGTGCAAGTATTAAGACACAATAGTGTTCAATTCAGCAATGTATTGCAGAACATCATGCCACAGTCCACTTCAAAGAGGGTCAGGACATGCAGCTTGTTAATAAAATGCTGTAGTATATAAAAAAAGCCACATGTTAATTCATAGTGGTTTATTTGGATGATTTAAGGTGATTTCTCTGTGGAATTTACTTTTATCCAGGACAAACATCCAGAGTTATCTTGTCATTTGGAATATTCTTCTTTTAGGCGATGGCTTTGGCTTCAGGTAGGAATGCCTCCCAGTATTTTATTAGCTTGAAGAGAAGGAAAAAAACACTCAGTATTAAGAACGAAATGTTGGAAAACATACACACCTTGCTCCTCTTGTGGTAAACTCATCTGCACTGGACAAAGTAAGAACATAGGTGCTTCATATTATCCATTCACCTTATTACATAATGCAAGAAAAAATACAAGTAATAAATACTTGCAAATCTGCTCAGAACAACAGAGTTGTTACCACACAATGAACACAATGCTACAGAATACATTTACACAGAATTTGTTTGCAAGCTCAGTTTGCTGTTCTTCCCTCTAGAGGGTACCACTTTTTTTTTTTTTAATTAAACAAAGCTGGGTTATATTCCCAGAATAAATAAAGGATTCAAGTCTCTTCAGTAAGCCTAAGTACATATTCATTACAATTTACTCCAGTCTATTAGTGAAAGTATTATTTCAATTTCAGAAGGAGAAGACAAGACCCTCCCCCTTGCCCATATCCCTAAGGGAGCTTCTCCCTTCCTTCTCTGAATTAAGAGCTGTGCAAGGAAGCATAGCAATAGCTGGGAAACTGCAATCACTATGTTATTCTCCAATACAATACAGACTGGAAGTAGTTATTTATGTTTTAGAAACTGCTACACTTAAAGCCTATATTTTTTTTAACTAACCTAATATGGAACGTATTAAATATTAACTTGTACAAAAATTGAAATTTATCTTACCTGCTGTTGTGTTTGCACTAATGACTCTAAGTACTTGATAATAACAGTTTTAAAGTCTTTCACTCGTTCCTTCTGTTAATAAATAAATTATGGCATATTAACCTCTTAACGAATTTTACTTGGACTGTCAATATTCTCTAAAGTAAAACTGTCATTTACTTGGACAAAATTATACGTGCCTCAAATCTTCCCACTTCCTTGCGAATGGTTTTGGAGATCTGTTCAAAATCTTTTTCCCCTTGCTGAACTTTTGTTTCCCACTGGCAAAGGAAAGACATGCAGAGATAAGACTTTGTGTTGTCCATTCAGTCTAACAGTACCTGAACTTTTTTTTTTTGTATATTAGTGATAGTCACTCAAGAGCTGTAAAGGACCTTTTTCTTTTTTTTTCATACTTAAGGGAAAGTCTTACAATAACAATTTCAAAGTAACAATTTGTATAAAAGGATGTAATCAGATCAGTGAAAACAATGGTATCTCTAAAGTAATGCTATCTGTATGTGAAATGTAAAAACATCTTAGTATTGCTATTAAGGAATGCTTAATAACATTTTTTTAAAGATTATTTAGGAAAAAAAAAAAGGCTTTCCAAAGCTTCACCCACTATTCCGTTTACGAACACTGCTATAAAAGAAATCTAATCCTGTAAGATTTCTGTGACTATTTGTCCAATCAAGTGTGAGTCTCAGAAGTTAGTTTCCTGTACTCTACTAATCCCAGGAGAGATTATTAAACCTTGATCTCTGCCTTTGGTCAAGTATATATGGTTATCTCTATCATACTTCTGTTGCAGATGACAAGCTATTGAGGATGTGTTTATTTGCTTTCTAGTCAGAACACATGTTGCTTAGGCAAGCCAAAGCACATGCGTTCTTGTTCAGTGGCAACTGTTTTAATAGAAAGCATGAGTAGAAAAGTTATTGCAGGTAAGAAGATCACAAAAGGAAAATTCAGAGAAAGTGGTGTTGCTTGTGGGGTTTTGCCATATTGGGAGTGTGGCATTCAGATAACAATATATGACACCAGGTTATATTTCTCCTTAGTTTATGTGAAAAGATATCCAGCTACACAATAAGAGATCATCATCAATCTACATTACCTTATAGCTGCTTTTACACACCTATTATATTGTTAAATTGAGCTAGCTGTGTACATATAGTATGAAAAAAAGCTATCAGCCTCACACAGACACATGCAGGCTAACAGATAGTTTAAATACAGCTTTATCTGTTCATTGCAAGATATCAACTGAGTCATGGGTGCCAATATATCCAGCAACACTTGTCTTCCTCAGAAGAAGGCAGCAGGGAAGCAACATACTTCAATACAGCATATTCCTGTTAGCAATCCAGTGGCACTATTTAGTCACAAAACCATTTTGTGGTACAGCATCAAGTTACTATTGTGACATAAGATGAACATCATCTATGTTCCAATAAATATCTACGTATTTATATTTTTAGTTTATATTTATTCAAAGTCACCTTATTGCCTTTTCAGATGCACATTATGAAGCTATGCAATTAAGTCATAACAGGATGTCCTTCACGGAAGAACAGCCTCAAGAGTTATCTAATAACTGAAATAATACAAAAGTCAGACAAGGAAGAGGTAGATTAAGACTGCCTGTGCCTTCCTGCCACAGCAACTAGAGGTGCCTGAGACTTGAGTGAAACCCTCTACAGGCTTTATGGATCCAACAACCCAATTTCATCATGCCCAAATCTCAGGTCCTATACGAATTATCACTGGATAACAGTCTGCCATCTTACAGTTTCTGACAAGGAGAAACTTCTCTTTATTCAGTAAGGTATTCTAGGACTATTCTTTGGCCTTTTATCTGCAAAAAGCAACTGAGTCATGGATGAACCTCAAGCTGTGTAGGATTCTACTTCACAATTTCTCTGCCAGAAGGACTACTATTACAGAATTCAGCAACTCAGAACATATTTCAATGGCAGCAATAACTTTTGATCAGCACATTCAAAATGTGGATTTACTAACAACCTTCTCTAATCATCCAATAAAATAAGAAAAATAAATCCTTCAGGAACAACATAATTAATTATTTTAATATTGGGACTGAGAAAGGATCACTGGATATTTCCTACTGCTTCCAATACTCAGGAAGTATTTTCGACAAGGAGTTCCAGCTCACTTGTATTGTGGATGGATGGGTGGCATCAAGAGAGGCAACCAGGAAGAATGTGGTCACACAAGAGTGACACTAAGTTTTCCCAGTAAACAAAGGCCTTTTTTAAGAAAAAGAAAGCCAAGTTAATGAGTAACTTCAACACCATATGCAAAATATACTGAAGGGCAGAAAGAACAAAACAGCACATGATTAGTGACCAATGAGGAAGTCAAACAAAGTAACTGTGTAAGAGAGCTTGAAATCTGCAGTGATGTTCTCCCATTATTTAATGGAAGAACACTGGTGCATAATTAGAATGCATTAATGTTAAATAATTAAGTTGTCCTACCTCTTCAATTTCCTTAGTGAAGCATGATAGAAAAAGTGTATAAATTATGACACTTCAACATGTTAAGATTTATTTTTACTGAAATTACACCATATATACATACATATATATATATATATATGGGTAGATATGCTGCATAATTAAGCAAAACATGGGAACAGTTCTCTATTAGTCATCTTAGCTGGATTTTAGCTTTAGAAGCCAAGAGATGCTCCTCTGCCTACCTGAGTGATCTGTTAACAGTTAAAAGCATTATTTAACTTTTCCACATTCCCCTCCTCCCATCTCCCAGACTCTGTAGAGACAGGATTAACTGCCTTACAGATCTTACAATGAGTAACAATTGCGCACGTTTAATATTTTAAATAAATTCTTTTTAACAATTTCAGTAAATATGGAAAACAGCAAATGAGTAAGTGATTTGTAAATAAAAATGGTATAAAGTAGTGCATTAATGCAGAATGAATGAGTTAATGCAGAAATCTGACCTCCAAAATAAAGTTTGATAACATTACCTCTTTTATCTCATCTTTAGCTTGCTGCAATTTATCAGGTTTGTTGGCAAGTTGGAGCTTTGCTTCAGCTTCACGTTTTTTTTGTAAAGTGACCTGAGCATCTTGCCACTTCTGCCAGCATTTCATCCGATGATCAAACACACCCTGTAAGGAGAGACAGATTTATTAAACAACTGGAATTGTTATAGCTATTTAAGTTCTGGAAAGTATTAAGGAAAAGGCAATTCTGGATAAAACTAGAACAAGTATACTCAAAGAAACCTCACTCTACCATGTCTTCTTGCATTTCATTTGACAGCATGGTTGCACTGCTCAATACTTTCCACAAATAACAGGGTATTCCAGAATCTTTTTCAGAGCAGAGACTTTAGCTCCCCAAACCATTTTATGTTCCTCATTTCATCAAAACACTACCAGAAAAACCATGACAAAGTGCTCTGTTATGCAAATGCTTCTCTCAATGCAGATCCTACCGAACTTCTCAGCCAAATGGATTACGTGCATATTCAGCAATACATTTTTGTTAGCAATGGACTAAGGTAGCAGAATTGAAGTATACACATTGAAAAAAAAGAAAAAACAATTCTCCCAACAACCTGGCAAGTTCAAATATGTTTCTGGATAAAATTCATAGATACCCCTTCCCATGTCAAAACCTAATTATGCATGACTTACACCAAAACTGAAAGTTTTCTTTAATGAGATACAGATCCACAAATTGTATTTGTTTCTTATTTACAGGAACTATTGACTATCTACCAAATATGGCCAGATTAGGTTCCTGAAAATTCATGAGCATACTGTAAAAATAAGTAACCGGAAAGAAACAAGCACAGTATAGTTAGACACGGTAGTGTATGGTATCCCCAAATACTGTACACAATTAATACTGCTCAAAGTAGATGATGTTCACCATTCACATTTTGTCTGGATCTTATTAATCCATTCCCCTTTTTGATCTCAACCATTTCTATCATTGGAATAACTGATCATGGGTGCATTCATTTTACTCAACTAGAACTTCAGGCAAAAACTTAGTCTTAACTATGTTACGATGTGTGCAAATGCACACATTAATTTACCCTAGATCTACAAGTTGAGGAATGTGACTTTATACACAAAAATCAGAATTTTTCCTAGTAGTACTCACTTTTACTGCAGCAATGAGACGAATGTAATCCCCAAGCAGTTCCGAAAACACATAGAAATCAGCAAAAGCTTGTTCTTGATGCAATTGATCTATCTTTTCCTCAACCTCTGCAAGTTGAGACAAAGCTCTAGATAGAGCAGTGTGGTCCTCAGAGTTACCTAACATGGCAGCACTTTTAGCAAAGGCAGCTGTGTTGGCTGAAAGCTCTGAAATACAGGAGTAATGTTCAGTACAATGTAGTTAATTTGTTATATTACTCTGAAGCGTAGATCAGTGGAGCAGAGACCTCTCCCCTATTTCAACCCTAACTTCACCAACTGGAAAATATAAGCTCTATTTCCTAAAGCTCATGATAAAATACACAAGCAGATCACAATTAAACTACATTTAGTAGAAGAAATCCTGCACAAAAACACTCTCCATCAGTGTTTTGCTGAGCTATTTTGCTAATGGCATGCTTACTATGTATATCAAAAGATAGGGAAAAAACTGTCATTTTGGTATTATCCAGCTGCCTAGTTCAGAGAAAATGCAAGCCCACTAGATAAAAGCCAAGTCACCTACGGAGCAAATTCAAAACAATTTGAAGAAGTCTATAGCACAGCTGTTCCGTGCAGTTCAGAGTGGGAAAAAAAACCCAACTATTTCAAAAAACCACCACCCCCATGAATGGAATTTATTTTTGTTGGACTATTTTATTGACTAACATACCTTTAACTGTACATACTGTAATGTATTGCCATATTCTGACATGAATTAAAAGAAAACAAACAAACAAACAAACACCACCACATTCCAGCATGGCTGGCATCTAAGAAGGTAAAGTTTTGAGCCTGTTTATTAACAAATACTAAGGCAATTGTCTCATCAAATCCCATGTAAGTCATCCTGTACAAAGTTGAGTCCTGTGAAAGATCTTTGAACAAATGTTTAATCCAAATTACTTCTGGATTAAAAGTGCGGGTTTGTTTGCAACTGTAGTGCTTCTGCGGAATCATCAGAACACCAGAAATGTTTGTAGAAGGAAAATGTCTTCAGATATTTAAAACTCTTATAATTTAAACACAACTGTCTAAAAAAAAAAATTAAATCAAACACTTCTTCAAATCAATGAGCAGGTGTCAAATCAACAGTAAACAAACACTTTGATTTTCCATTACTTCTTAAAATACTCTTTAGGTGTGAGGACATCTGGCCAAAGATTTTTTACTACTGAGAGTAATTCCTGACAGAGTTATGAGAAAGCAACTTACGACACTTGCACTACTTTTGAAAGTGTAAAGCTGAAAGGTGACCCTGTATTTTAACATAATACAGTAGTGTCAGAAAGTATATTTATGGTCTTCCTTGAACTACAAATCGAAGTTTTAGTGAGTTTTTGTTGTTGTTTTTTGTTGTGTGGGTTTTTTTTTAAATCATCTGACAGAAAGCATTTTTTGACAAAACAGCAGCACAAGTGGTTAAGATATAAACTTACAGGCTTTGCTGCTCTCTAAAATAAGTAAGCCAAAAGCTGATATTCTAAGACTACTTATCTTTCCAGAAAATTTACTTTAACAGTAGCTTGATGATGTATGATTATGTGGACCACATTAAGAATAGTAAATTCCTGTTTAAAAGCCTAAACTCAGTTAACAGAGCAATACTGAACCAAAAGATATTTAAATGGATTTATGCAGCCACTTTTTGTTCAAAAGGAAATGACTCTTGCCATGAGACCTAGAGATACATTTATGGATGTCTACTGTAGTAGAATAACTTGCTAGGTATGGTATGGAATCTCTGAAAAAAAAAAAAAATTATGCTAAATCAATATTGCAAGTTTAGGAATGACAGATACTGTGGTTAAAATTAAGATTAGAAACAGGTCTAAAAAATGATAGAGCAGTTTAAACTAAAAGGTACAATTACAAGATTTTTATATCAAAATACATTGTATAACTCTACTAATTAGCTAAGAGTTTTGACACACTGAGCTCTTGTTTCCTTGCTCTTTCCTAAAGTTCTAAGCACTTCAGCTCAGGCAGACACATAAAAGTAAAGTTACCTTTTCTGTGGCAGACTAATGCTTCAACACTGGCATGAAGTTTCCTAAGCTGCTGATCAAGATTTTCAAATTGCTGCTGTTTTTCTTCAAACCACTGACAAAAGATGAAAGAGTCAGGCATTACAAATTAGATTACCAACAACATTTCTGGTTTTAAAGAAGCAAATTATCCACGTACTGCCAGGGTGGTCAACTGATGCAACTAAGAATTCAAGCCAATAAACAAATTAATAACCCATTTTCTACTTCTACAGCTTTAAAATGCAATTGTTGAGGCTCATTAATTCATTTCATTATTCAAGCCGAAAAAATCAGCTCTTACTGCATCCGATTCATTCATCTTGATTGTCATTTTGTTGACAGCGTCGGCAGCCTTGTTCACCATCCTCAATATTCCTGCTCCACTCAGAGCCTGGGTATTAACTGCTCTCGGCAGCTGGAATTGAATGACAAATAAGGGCAAACAGACTGGTTAAAAGGATAGAGGTTTAACTGGGCACAAGGGGGAAAGAAAAGGATATAGTGTTTTCTTTACTCCTATGTGTTTCAATATACTGGAATCTAATTTCTCAGATTTACTACTTTTACATTCTCAGGAGGAAAACTTAAAAATACAGACTATTTACTTTTCTTCTACATCTTTACATTTAAATGGAACAAACAACCCACTTGTCCAAAGTTATTATGAACTAGCCAAAGGTCCTAACTAGCCACCTATACACTACAGAGAACAAACTGCCACTATAGGAACAGAAAAGCTTCGATTTAAAACAAATTAGACAGAAGAAATTATGTAAAACGTTTAATTGTATTGCAAAATTTGCACTGTGTGCTGATTACAAAAGGTTGATGTCTTTTTGCTTTTCAATATAGGTCAGATTTCAAAACATACCTCATGCGTATCAAGAGAACTGGTACTCAGAAATTCTCAGGGGTAAGTTAACAAACTTTAAATTTAATTAATATTATTATTCAGGTTAGTCTGAGTATGCCATACAAGGTGGCCTCTATGTCAGACCATTTACCCTTCATGTGATGCTTTGTCTATCAGCAGCATTGACAAATCCAGTGTAAGCTATCTATCAATGATGCTTTTGTCAGTAGTGAGGTCTCTGTGACTTATTAGTATAACTAAGATATTGACATTGGTCACAAGACAGTTCAGTATTACAGTGAATCCACTATGCGCATTTATAAAGAGATGTTATGTATCTGTAACAATACACTTAATAATGTGAAAGGTGCCAGAACAGTAACACAGGTGACTGAAGTCCTCCATTCACAAAACATCTAGCCTGGTCAGCAGCATTGCTAGCGTTTTCACATTATCCTACCAATACACCTCAAGGTGGACTTCCAGAGCCAAGAGAGCTGCTTTCAAGCCAGTTTAATTCTTGATCTTATTTAACAATCAGTAACATAAATTATGGATTTTCACCATGTACAACAAGCTTCACTGAGAACTGGACAGACCAACTCACTTGAGAAGCCACTGAACAGCAAATAGCTTTTGGTCACTACCACTCTGAAGTTTTATCAGAGGCAGAGGCACACCTTTACCTAAGCAGCCTCTGCCATTCTGTCCCCTGAAGGGTACAATCCAGTTTGATTGCATATGAATTTAGGGGATAAGGTCTCAATATAAAGAGAATATATTGCTTTCTAGGTTACCATATCTAGAAACAAATAGAAGAACTTAAAGAACTTAAATACCTCGGAACTTTCCAAGAACTGTCTTAAATCTGGATCCTGTAACAAGGTTGGGTGTTTTACTGTTCGTTGTAGATACCTGTGATTTTAAAAATTAAAATATTAGATAAGAAAACAGACGTAATGTGTCTGACAACATTGGAAAGTGTCCTTCATCTAAAGAATGCACACAATGCAGGACACAACCTCCCTCATTGTCTAACTGGGCTTGAACACTTTAAAAGTCATCTCTAAAGGGTTAGGTGATAGTTCAGTCTCCATGTCCCTTCAATCCTTTGCCTCTGCTGACTCTTCAAAACATATTTATGCATTCTGTCACCTTCCGCGAACAACACGTAGGCTAAGTCGTACACAGACTTACAAGCTAGGACCACCAAGCTGCCAAAACACTCACTTACTCCAGTAAGGCTGCCACCAAATGTGGAACTTCTGACTGGAAGTAATGCAGCCCCGTTCACTCCAGACCACAGCATAACAGACCAAAGTTGTGGGCAGTGGTTTCCCATATAGTTCGTTTACACCAGAAGTGCCTTAAGGTGGACTTGTCATAACTGTATGTTGCACAGCAGTAAAATATTATACTCTGTATTTTCAACAGCTGAGTGAAGTCCTCCTCCTCTAGTTACAGCCAATTCATGCCAGAAAAAAAAAAAATGAGCTTGTTTAAACACGCTTGCACAGTGCAGCAGACAGACTTTCTGTTACAGATAATTCTGGCTGACTTATTTTAGAATTAAAGGAAATCTTGGAGAAGTGAGCTGATTATGTTTTAGGTATGAATTATTTATTTGCTGGCTAGACTAAAGCCTTCAACCCATATTAGTTCTAAAGGACTCATCCACCAAAAAAAAAAAAAAAAGCAGTTCTGCTTAGATCTAAAAACTGTTGATTGAACAAATACGGGTTAAAGAGAGGAATTTCAACAGTATTTTTCCCCTAAGAAGTGCTGCAAGTTTGTCATAATTAACATTACGTATTAACAGAAAGCATTTTATGTTTACATTAATGCTTTACAGCAATTCAGTACCTCAAAAGATCACGGGGATATAATAAAGTATGTGTTATTGCCAGTCAACATGCAATGACAGAACATTAACAGCAGCACAGTCTACTTTCTGCAAAGCTTTCGTTTTGCTCAAGTCTCAGCTGCAGAGTACCAGAACAGCCCCGTTATGTTCACAAATTGCTTAGAATGTGTCCTAGAAATTGATGTGGGCTGGGACTTTTAACTGAAAGTCCGAGCATATTGATATTGTAAATGTAATGTGTTTTTTCCATCCTCCATTAGGTATAGCCAGCAGATCCTGACTTTGCTTCCTAAAGAAGCTAAGGGTGCAACGAAACTATTTTATACATTAGATTGATCACATTTTCCTTGCTTGTTCTATACTTGGTAGTAAGTACATGTTAAAGTCAATGTGGCAAGCAACCAAAGAGATTCTTCTTTAGAAATCTGTTGTTAGAGAATAGACCTTAGTCCAAGGGAGATTCTAACATTTTCACTGAAGACAACTGGCAATGTGCTTGAGGCAGGTAGACTTGGAGTATGTAAATTCACTATTCTAAGGCATAAATTTTAGTGAACTCAGCTAACAAGGTACATTGCTTTCCAGCCCACTTTCTCCAGAGTTCTTAGTTCAAAAAAGAGGAAACTCAAGATTTCTTTGGTCTGACTTTCTGGGGAACATTAACATGTTTTCCTCAGGTTTAGGCAAGAGCAACAGAATCACTGCCTTTCAATATCATTTGAACACCTTGGCAGGTAGGTAATCTTTTGATTCTGAAAGGAGAAGACAGGTAAAGTTGCTCCTTGCCAGGATAAGGTATTCATAGTCTTTCTGAAAAAAACAAAGGAGTATACTGTGAAGCCTTCCCAACATTGTCAAAAATCCAGAGGACTCCATTCCCCAGTATGGGAGGACTGCTCAACCTCCACTAGAAGTGATACACTAGTGTAACTCCTTTAACAAACAAATGAAAAAGCAGCATGCAGACAAGCTTGTGAATTAAACTTTTTCTAATCCTACTTCTGTTGTTCAAGTAAGCAACAAAGGGGGAAACTAATCATCTCTATTACAAACAGAGGCCTGAAGTTGTGTGGAAGTATCTGTTCAGCTATCTAAGCCAAATTACTCTAATCCTGGCTGTCATTCCAAGTCTTTGCATCTCACAGCACCACTCCTTTAGCAACAGACTTGTATAACCAGAACATGTTTCATAGTTCCGCTCCAAGTGAGATAATACTATTCTTATTATTTTAATTTTATTTTTACTCTAATTATTAAATTGTTCTTATCTCAACCTACAAGTCTCCCCACCTTTACCCCTCCAATTCTCTCCCCGATTCCCTGGGGGGGGGGGAAGGGGGCTGCGAGTGGCTGTGTCTTGGTTGGCTGCCAGCTAAGTTAAACCATCACAGTGAGGGTGATAGAGATACAATATCTCTTACACCAAAATTCTGCTAGTCACATCAATGTGCTGTAAATCATCATAAGGCCATTTTACTTTCAAGTGACTAAGGGTCTCCTTCATCCACCTCCGTGCCCAACAGTTGTATTTCTATGGAACAAATATGCTGAAGGCGTGAATTCCTTAAACCCAAAATGCCTTAGTAAGCTAATAGGGTTTTACTCACTGGATCTCTGAAATCTCAATTTTTAAGCACCAACCAGTTTGAAAAGAGTTAGTTATGATCCTCTCTATGAATAAGGCTACAGTCTCCATTATTAATAAGAATGATTCCATTTCTACACAAAAATTTGGCAGCTGCATACAGCCTCCAGAATCCATCTAAGTACAGATGGGCTGGACCGCAACTGCAGAGCCCATGTAGTATATTACAAGTCATTCTGAGTTTAATCAAGTTTTAGTTAGATACATACATTACCTTTCTAGAGCTGCTCTTCTTTTCTCTACAAATTCAGTAGATGAAGAATCTTCCTTGCCTACTTTAACCTTGGTCATGCCTTTGAAGAAAATGGCATCATAATGATATTTTATCACAAAAAATTATTAACATAACCAATGTGATTATAAGATAAAGCTCAATTAAGTTTATGTATTTAAGTCAAATTACAATGAAAAACACTACACAGGAACAGGAAAAACATCAACACTGCAGGCTGCACGGTTTTGTGGAAGCAGCTCTGAAATATGCAATTTCATGCAACTAGAAGTCAAAACTAGTTTAATTTGCATTTATGAAGATAATCTAAATGAAGATCAGAGTCTTAATGGTCATTCATGTTCAGGAGAAGAAAACAGTTAAACAAATAAAGCAGAATAGGAAAAAAATTCTCAGGTTATAAGCCTATTTATTGGTAAGCTCATTACCAGTAAGTTATTTCTTCCCCCCCGCCCCCCACCCCCAAGTTCCAAAAATAACAGTTTTTTAGTCAACTCAGGCAAACTAACCAGCTCTGAAAATTCTGAAGCGCATGAACAACTACAAACTGAATGAAGAATAAAATTAGCAGAATAAAATGCATGCACCTTGACTCTGCTGTATGACACTTCTTCTGCCCAAGTCAAGAGTAGCCAAAAAACTATGAAAGGTGGAACTGATGTATTGTTGTATGGGAATATATTCAACCTCAGCAACAGAAGATCTCTAAAACTGTAAGACTGAGGTCAATATTTTTCGTGATAACGACCCTAAACTCAGAGAGTTTAGGAACCTGAGTCCTACCAAGAACACCGTGAACATTCATAATTACTCTTAATTCCAAAAACACAGGAGAGGTATGTCATGATACAGTCCAAACATTTTATTTCTACCTGTAGTGTATTTCTGCTCTGTTAATTCCGTGCTTCTCCAACTAGAAATTCTAAGTGTGAGATTCTGAATATGTACTCTGTGACCTGCCAGGTCAACAGTTCCCAAAGTTGTTCCTCACCCGATCTCCCTTCTGGCTTTAGAAGTTTCACACAGTAACCCACGGAGGGCACAAACAGCATCCTTACAGGAACAAGGAGGGACCCTTAACCTTTCAGTGAAGCCTTAGTTTTTCCCTTGTCTGTAACATGATGAAAATAAATCCAATTGGCATTTTTTTCAAAGGTATACTACACAGTGTAGCATAACTGTCAATCCATAAATTTATCTGTAAAATTGATTATGTCTAAGTACAAGGATTAAAGCATTCAAAGAAAAGTGAGGCAACTCACATGCCTCATCTTTTTGCATTAGAGTATTACTATTCATTAATATTTAACTGCAGAAAGCATAAAATCCTGCAGTTTAATACAAAAGATCCTTCACATTTGATAGCAACACAAGTTCACAGGGAAAAAATTGAATATGTAATCAAATGATCAATATGAGGAATTTCTAACTTGTTATATTGACAGTTATTTCCAGATATCATGTCAGGTTGCTTTCTCTGCTAATATAAGTTTGCTTAAATGCAAGTGTAAAGGCAGCTTCTGTAGCCTCTAATCCTTCACAGGAAAGGATTCATGACTTACAAGATTGTTTTCTGAAAACCAGAAAACATTATTTTCCAACACACATACGTAAGTAGTGAAGCAGTTTGGATGAATGTCCAACTTCAGCCCACCACTGATTTGGTTTTATCCTGTTCAGTCAGTAATTGACCACATGAATTTGTGGCTAAGGTCTGAAGTGCCAGTCCCTCCCACCTATCACCAAAATAAAGTTGGACCTTAAAACTCCAGGCATTAACAATGTAGCAGAATTAACAGACAAGGGCTTTTGTACAATACACACTGCATAACACTGGATGTATGATATTTCATATTAAGATTTTAAAAATAAATACACATGATGTAAACACAGTATTTCATCCTACTTTCAGCTGTTTCGCCAGCTCTCTGCTTTAAGATACCTCATTTTAAATCAGCCTATAATCCCTTCTTTCCTCCATAGTTAGATATCTATGGACTATATATTTTTGGATAAAACTAAATACCACCCGTACAATGAAGTCCAAGTCTAAAGCAGGACTTTCATGCTCTTCAGAAAATGTCCTAGAGAGTTTATGAGTTTTCCCAACTTATCTGAAGCTTAACGAAGTCTGTACAAGGATCTTAAGTGGCAGCCAGTGCTTGCTAACACTGTAGTAAGTCCCACCATTTTACACAGTTCCGGGTGTATCAATACTTATCTTGGTTTTGTTCAAGTGGTACCTCAAATCTAGACCAAGCTTTGTCTTACAGATGAATTCGACTGTGATGCAAGGAAGGACTACATTTCCATGTAATTGCACACTGTCATAAATGCCTTAAATGTTTTATCATCCAAAGGATGTGACTAGAAGCTTCATTCCATCTTTATAAGCCCTGTTAGCATTTGTAATGAAACTTATTTTTGTAATATGAAAAACTGGTTATTACAGAATCATATATTATTTTCAAGAACTACTAAATATTCAGATCAAATTTTCAAACTTACAGACTGAAAAATGCAATGCTTTTCCACAGAACTCAAAGCACGATTTTCCCAAGCTTTCTGCTCCCTCCTTCTACTCAGTCTGCCTATTCCTACTTCTGTGAAAAGCTGGTACTCTGATTAGCTTTACATACCAAACTACTGAAAAAACAAGTCCTGCCATTTCCTACAGATCAAACAGAATTCTAGAGTCCAATCACTTATTTATGCGGGTAAGTCAAAAGACTTCAACAGTTTTTACTCTTTTAAATATTTAGTTATTTTGGAAGAACCTCAACTGCTTAGAGCTCATGAAACTGAAGTTGCTTCAATGCATCAGACATGTTTCTTAGTTCATGAAGAAAAGATCTGATCCTTCAAAGCATTCATGAAGATTATCATCTCTCAAAAGTGTTTTCTGAATTAGAACTTTGAAGAATTAGCTAGAGGTTTTAGCGCCCACCATGACCAAAAGAAACAGACTGAAGCATTAGAGAGGTAGAGTATGTATGAAGCTCTGTATATTGCAGGCAACTGATAACAGCACAGTTAAAAATAAACCTTCATTTAACATCTTTGTTTTGATAGACTAATCAGCTCTTAAAGGGCAACAGTGAAGAAAGAATGATAGATAAGAAACAGAAGGCCATGTATTAAGACAAACGTCCTTCTTATTATCAACACTGGTCTGAGTTAGGAAGAGGCCAGTACATATCTTTCCAATCTTACATGAACTTTTTAAAAATACAGAACAGGAAGAATATTTAATAGTTTGGACATCCTGATAAGCAGTAAGTAATATTTGTGCAGAAAAATATTCATTTTGCAAGTCCAACAGGTATTAAAGTAATTTATTTGTATTACAGTAAATGACAAGCTTAAATCCAACTTTACAGGAACTACACTTACCTACAATACTTTTTTCTGGAGCTGGAGGCACAATGTAACCAATATGCATGTACTTTGTTGCTAACTTGCTGTGCAAGCCAAGAAAATCACTGAATCTTCTTTTAACAAAGAATTCATTTTTGTGGAACATAGAAAGTGAAGTCTTAAAAAAAAAAAAAAGTTGTTATGAATTACTGATCCATCTACTCAGCTATGATTCAATTATCTGCAAATATTGTTGCACTAGTTACCTTTGTTGTTACTCTGTATGCCATATAAGCATTCATGCCATCTCCTGTAAAAAAATTAAGATACTTATCCTAGGGCAAGTTATTTTAATACTTCCACACACTTTTTATTCCAAAATACACAATAAATAGCTTTCCATTTAGATACTAAAACCTCCAAAGATAACTGAATAAGAAATCATGCTAAAATCTCAGAACAGTCTTTGAGGGATAAGACACTCCACCATCTGACTTACGAGGCTCAAGGAACTTACCAACTTTCTCTGGGTCCGATACATTGATCTCTATATCAAACAAATCTCCATTTGCTTCCTCTTCAATCTAGGAAAAAGATATGCCATATTTAACATATGTGTGTTCATATTATGTATGGTTACAAGAATAAAGGTATAGAGGAAGGAGGAGGAGAAGTCATTACGCTTGTATAAGTAAAAAACCCTTCCAGACCCATCATCCAGTGTCAAGTGAATGTAATTTCTAACACTGATTGTCACTACAATGGAATTAATGTGGTGAACTTGGCAGTGTTAGGTTTATAGTTGGACCTGATGACCTCAAAGGTCTTTTGCAACCTAAGTGATTTTATGACTTTTTAATTTTAAACCTTCCTGCAAAAGCTTTTAGCATGGCAGGCTCTTTTCAGGACTTGTTGGCTTCAAAATTTTTAGTAAAAATTTATTTTAGGGGTATGCTCATTGCATCTCTTCCAATGCCAGCAGATAACTATGGTTCAAAAACCACTCCAATTTGTGATGTTTCTGTATGCCTCTAATAAAATATTCCTCTCTTCAGATATTCATTTTCATTAATGTTATCTGTAGCAGAAGAGCTTGGGAAGGGAAAAGTAAAAGAGACTTTTCTGATACTTGTCTGAGCTCTAATCATGCAGAATTTCATTATCTTTCATGTAATATACATAATTTTGATAAAAACAGAGATCTTAAGAAACACCATGGCAGAAGGTACAGTGTACCAGGGCTGAAGGTGGAAAAAATCAGAGTAAAATGCCATCTTGTGGTATCCGGGGAAGCAGCCATCATCGAGTCACAGGTAAGTCTTGTTTGCAAATTCTTTCAGCAGAAGCACTGTCTAGCAAGACAACACTCCAGAATGAATGGTATTCAGCACTGTGCAGGCTTTGAATGGAACACCAAATGTACATAACAATGTTAAAACTACCATTAGCCTCGGCTGTTTGTTAGCGTGCAGGATAATGCTAATGACTGCTTCCTCCATTTCCTCATTAACAACAGCTTCAGAAATCCAAGTCAAAACTCGTAACATGCTAGGAAGAGGAGTTATACATCATCAACGTTTCTCCTGTATCAAGCTCACGGCTTGCTCCTATATAGACTTTTACAATACCTATTCTGAAGGAATGACTTTAGAGGTCTTACTCCTATCACTACAGATCTCCAAAATAATCACCTAAGTAGTGAATTGTTATGGTATTTTCATGAGTCAAATTCATACTAAACTTACATGTAACATAAACAAAATAGGTTTTCTTTTACATAATTCCCCTTTGCAAAGGATGGTCCTGTGAGTCAACATTTAGGAACTGTCATTTTAAAAGAAGGAAAGACTTCAAAACCAAACAAGACATTTCCATAATTTAGAAGTTCACTGCGTACCTCTTCTCTGGATCTGTCAAAAATCACAGGGGCTGTTACGCTTTTCGATTCCATTCTGGGAGCTACTAAGGTAGTAGGTGTTACAGGAGTGATTGCAGGAGTAGGTTCTGGCGAAAGTATTGGATCCCTCTCTGGACTGTCCAGTGAAACTTCTTCTGTTGCTTCTAGATAAATATTTTGAGTTAGGAAAGAAGATTTTGTGCAACAGAGATGGATATGCATCACACAGATAACAAATGCACACTAAAAAATGAAAATATACAAGTTTAATAAATTTAATAAACAGCATTCATTTGTGCCCAATAATTTCTTCCAACACATAGCTAAAACTAGATGTGACATTTGAGCTTCTAGTGAATAATGAGTTAAAGTAAGATTAATACTGCAATTTTTTTTTATATACTATTAGTTAAAGAGTCTTTTAAAGTAGTTGCAATTGATAAGTCATCTATTTCTGCATGGGATATTGTGAAAACTAATTATTTTTTTTTTTACCACATAAGCAGGTCTTTTTCAGCACCTGTACCAATTTTAATTTTTGCATTCTGAACAACAGCTGATAGCCTAGTCATATAGGCTGATAACTGAGCAGACCAAGTCATATCTTAAATGAAGTTACACCACCATAATATACCCCTGCCACTGCCAAAAGCCCACAACCTGTAAAACAAAAATATCAGCAGGTGAGACATTCTGATTAGTAAGACTATCTTTAGTCTCTAGCTATCTTCAGTCTCTCTATGGCTTAAAACAGTTCACCAGAAACTGAATACTTCCTTCAGACTGTAGACAGTTCATCTACCTTAAAAGAGGATGTAAATCTCTGCTCTACAAACCCTGCATGCTTTCCTCCACTAACTGGTTTTGACCACTGGCAAACTACACACTTCCTGGGTATAGAGAAGTTCCTGTTCTTGTTTAAATAACTAATGCTGTGGTTCTTGCTAAATGCGCACTTTCAAGAATTCTAGTTCCTTAAAAGGTAATATTGACCACAGAACAGTCATTTGATACCAAAATTGACTTCCTAACTGATCTCAAGTTTTGTTACAAACTAGACTTCCTGTGGCAAGTACTTTAACAAGCAGGTAAAAAAAGCACTAAACCAGATCCACTCCGAGTTATACAGTTCCCAAAAAGGCTTTTTTTTTCTATGCAGTTTGGAAGAGCTGTGCTTGTAAGTTTTGTCTACATGAACCACTCAACTTTCAAAAGAAAATAAGCTATCTTTCCTCAAAACCTTGTAAAGCCTGGTGCGTATAATGAATATGACTAGTCTTTACTCAACAGTTAAGTGGAGTTTTAAAGACCAAATCAACTTTGAAATTTGTGAAATAGTGATATTGCGTGTAGGAAAAACCCAGTATCCTTTTCATCTCCTGTAGGATTGTCTGCTTCTCCAGAACAGCTGGTAATCTACTAGCAACATAAAAATAGAACTGGAAATAGCATCCAATGAACCATATAATTTATTACTGTAAAAAGTAATATTATGATCTTTCATAATCAATATATCAAAACCACTCAGCTTTATCCCTACTGCCACTTAGAGATATTCTGTTAGTCAATTCTGTTTCCCATTCTTCTGAAACACTTTTTTGTCAATCCTTGATGTTTTTCATAAATAAACAAATCCACACATCTGTATTTCAGAGATGAAAATGACCGTGTGCCTACATTTTGTTTCATATTGAAGCTCAAAATAAAGCAAAAACCAAACATCAAGGTCACTATGCCTTAACCTAGTTTGAAGCACATGCTCGTTCTGGCTTGAGTATATCGCAGAACTGCTGAGCCTGGAAAGGACCTCTGCAGATCATCTAGTCTAACCCCTCTGCTCAGGCAGGGTCAGCTAGAGCAAACTGTTCTGGACCACATCCAGATGGGTTTTGAACATCATCAAGAACGGAGAATTCAGCTCCTCCTTGTACAACCTGTGCCAGAGCTTGATCACCCTTACCATTAAAAAAAAAACCAAACCCCAAACTATGTTTTTTTCTTATGTATTACCTTTATTTCAATGTGTGCCAACTGCCTCCTGTCCTGCCAGTGGGCAACACTGAGAAGTCTACTTCCCTCTTCTCCATTCCCTCCCATCAGCTATTTATACACATTGTATGACTTCTCCCAAGCCTCCTCTGCTGCAGGCTGAACAGCCCCTGCTCTCTTCAGTCTCTACTCACATGTTGTATGCTTCATGCCCTTAATTATCTTCATGGCCCTGTACTGGACTCACTCCAATCCGTCCATGCCTCTCTTGTATTGGGTAGCTCAGATGTGGACTCAGCACCCAAGGTGTGGCCTCACCAGGGCTGAACAGAGAGCAAGATCACTTGCTTCAACCGGCTAGCAATGCTCTTCCTAATTTTAAATTACAAGATTTTCATTGTACTTCCAAACTAAACTTAAAAGAAAGCACCTTTTTATATTTTCTGTTTTTAATATGAACAAATATTATCTAAAAGGTTTCTTTGAAAAGATTTATTTTCCCACTATTGCTTATTCTTACTGCTAAATGTTTCTGAAGAATCCTGCTGATGCTTCCTGCCCTCAAATAACACAGGAAGGATACTGCATCTTAAACCAATAGAGAGCTTTAATTCAAAAGCTCACATCAGGTGGGAAGTCATGCTTTTGCAACTGAGGCAATTGCAAAAAACACTTTTGAATTGGTAGAATAACAACATTTAAACATGGAAAAGAGATAGTTCTCTCCTTTGGTGGCTAAAAGCATTCAACATATAGGTTATATGTTATACAAATGACTTTCACAGAAACATTTATCAGAAAAAAATATATATACATATGTAACATAGTATGTTATATGTATAAAACATGATATAATATTAAAAAACCATATAAAATAAAGCCATGCCTCTTCAACTCTTCCTTTTTCTGTCACCAGCTATATTCTAACACGTGTTCGGGAAACAAACCATTAATCACCACTAAGTACTTCTCTGTACCCCCCAATTTTAGACAAGCTTATAAAACAAGTCATTAAACAATTCAAAGCATACAGATTTCTCACTTTCACTAGTGGAGAAAACATTCCTGTTCCTATAAAAGTATGACTTCCCGAAAAAAGTGTGAAATCAACATAACAAAGCAGCAGTGCTATCAGATGAGACAGAAGCACACTCCTTCCCAGCGGTCCTCTCGAGCTGACTTGTATCCACAGACCCATTAGTACCGTACCATGAACTGATCTAGGTTGTATATCACATAAAATCCAACCAGGATTAGCCCCCTGCTACTGTTCCACAGACAGCTGAAGATACTGCTAAGCTGGTGCATTATTTCTGTAAAAGAGAACGTGGCAGGAACAAGCAGTTGGAAAGGCAATGAGGTTTCCTTTCAGCAAGACCAGCAACATTAGAATTCACCCACACCAGTATTTCTAAAGCTGTGCAATCCCAGGTTGGTTGGGCATGAGCAAATTTTTAAAGTTACTGCTGACTAGCCCTTCTTTTCTATTTTCCTGGAAGAACCCACACAGAGAAAATAGCATCTGTTTGTTTGATAGCAGTAGGTCAGTTCTTCTAGGAAGGAGAATGTAGAATTTATGCCACCCTCCCTCCTGTTACCTCTCACCCCAAGTTTGCATGCATCCCAGGCATTATGTAAATCTAGAAGAGTGAAATGGAAAAGGCAGTGGAAGGGGGTGAGGGGACAGAGCAGGACAGAGACAAGGATGTACTTTTTGTTTAAAACACAAGTATTAAAAGATTCTGAAGGGAAAAAGAAATATATAAAGGTCTATATAACAACATCAGGTGCTAACTTTCTAGTTATTTTTTCCCCTCAGAAAAACAGTCTTTGAGTAGTATTTAAGCTGAAGTTCTGATG